GTATGGCGCTAGACGTCAAGGTGGAGCACTAGGAGGAATGGTAGCTGGCCAAGAGAATCACCGGAGCAGCGAGCACGGGACGCCGAGACAAGATGCGCGAGGATGCCAAAGGGAGCCGAGACGCCGACGAGTCAAGGCGAGGAGGAGACTCTGGTGGTGGAGGCGTAGGCGCGGGCGCATCGATGGAGATGCGAGGGCGATAGGTCGGCTAGGGCAGTACGACGTGGGCTCGGTGGTGGAGGCGCAGGCATGGGCGCGACGACATAGATGCAGTCGCGGTGAGGGCAAGGCGGTGTGGACACGGTGATATAAATGAGGGCCCCTCATGAAAGTTACAGAGGAAATGGATCTAATCCACATGAGTTGAAGCGACCGGACGCGCTGGTGAAAACGACCGAACACAGCAAACCAGAGTCCGGTCAATTACAGAGAGGTCCAGAAACGCCCAAATGGCGACCAGACATGGCTGTGCTCATAGAAAGAAGAAACGATGCTACTTGAGTTCTATATATGACCTGAAGGTAGTCAACATGAGATCAGCTCATCAAATGTGTACCAACCTGACACACCATCTAATATTATCGCCATCCCAGACCTGGTGAACCATTTGCAAGCTGCAGATAAAACAGAAAAAAATATGTTCATACCGCTATGTGTTTATTACTTTTATCTACCTGAATTCATACTACTATGTGTTTATAACATCTATGTAACTGAATTCCATCAAAATTGTTCCAAGAATGCCAAGCCCCAATTCAATTGAGAGAGGCTGCATGAAAATAGCCACAACGCAGTTAGAGGAAAAAACAAGGAGCCTACACAACTACATGCAAAAATCAACACAAACATTACCTTTCTTGTCCTCAACACTGGCTTTCCTGTTCTCAACACTGTGTCATTAACCATCAGTTTCCTCATAAACAACAGAAAAGTAGTGATTGTGTAATTCGTTGAGTGAATTTCTTTAGGTTAAAGAATCAACATATTGTTTTGCAAGAATCAGAAAAACATAGAGGCACTGACCAAGCCTTATGCCCCAGGGTAAGCACACACCATAACCTTAGTTCTGGATGTTTCAGACCTAAAAGAAAGTGGAAAGAGGTGGCGATGGATATCGGTTCATCATTGCACAATCCCAAAACTTCAGTAGATAACATGAAGGACATTAGTTCTGCACATGATCTGCACAATTTAAAACAAGAGAAGGGCAGGAGCAAAAGAAGTTTAGGGTTTTGCCCATCCGCTGCAACGAAGAGGGGGAGGGGGCCAGGATCCCCGCAGTGAGGAGAGGGAGTTGAGGGAAGGGGAGAGAGCGCACGCCGGAGTTTAGGGTTTGGCCCGTCCGGCAGGGTAGCGGGCGGCGCTGCCTGTGCAGCGCCACAACAGAGCGGAGGGAGGCGGAGTACGGGGAGCAGACGCGCAGGAGGCAGTGGCCAGCACCATCGCTGCCCCTGGCGGCGTGGCCCCAATCCTCCACCATGCCACCGCCGTCCTTGGCCTCCGGTGGTTTCCTACTTGGTGCTCTGCACAGATTCGACGGGAGGGAGGACGGATCTGGCCATGTTCGGATTCTGCAAGTATGATTGATTATTTCAGAACAGTCAATGAGAGAAGCAAATTGAATTGACCACCTCAGATAAGTGTGGTTCCCAAATGGCATACAGAGTACCTCGAATGATAAAGCATACCAGTTCTCTGAACCCTATTGTGCAGTCCAGAAAGCAAAAGAACATATATTGCGATTGGAATGCAGCAATGTCCTCTCTAATATTTGTTTTCCTTGTGCTTTTAGCTTCACATTTAAAATAAAGGGAGAAGTAATTTTGGTGCACCTTGTTGCAGCCTTAATGGGTCTTCAGCTAAACTCTGCAAGCCCTACTCATTGCACTATCTTGTGCACTTGCATTTAATAAAAGACGAACAGAAGAAGAAACAAGCACTGTTTGCATTCACCAGGATATACCTGGACGGGCATTTCATCAAATATGTTGTGTGCAGCCTCCATGTTGACATCTACCACGACATTTGAGATGATGGTGGTCGCGGCCGCGACCGCAGCTGTGAGCCTGTGACAGGTGGTCTAGGGGTCGGGATGCCAGAACAGTCAGAGAGGGAGGCCGGCTCTTTGGCAGGAACAGGGCGGGCCATCTCTCCGGCGGTGATCGGCAAGGGCGGCCGAGGTCCACGGGATGGCCGGGACCGGAGCGGCTGGAGATGTCGCGCCCGCACCCCGCCTGTGCCGGGGTCGTCGCGGCCACTGGGGCCCCCGTCCGCGTCGAGATGGCTCTGGGGTGGCCGGAGTCGCCACGCCCGTACCGCCGACTGCGCCAGGGTCGCAGGGGCCGCAGGGCCCCCCGCCCGCGCCGGGATGGTCGGGACCGGAGCAGCCGGGTTCGTCGTGCCCGTACACTGCCTGCACCGGGGTCGCCGGGGCCCTCACCCTCGCTGGGATATGGCCGGGAACGCAGCGCCCGCGCCAGGAGGAAGAGGCAGTTGTGGGAGTCGCCCGCGAGCGGGTTCGCGAGGATTCGCGACGACGGCTTAACGGGTGAGATACCCGATACGCCTCGATTGGACGGTCATATCGCGTCTTGGCCGGATCTGACGGCTAGCGGGTTTGTGGAGGCAACCTGATCGGTTGGTTGGTTCATTTCGTTGCTGGTTTGTGAGGAAGTACAGCTGGCTGGATTGTGTGAGAGAAAAATATTGTTCTGACTGAAAATTTATGATCGTTTACGACAAGCCACAACCAAACAAATCGGATTTCTAAAACATGAGACCAAGGAAAAAAAATAAGTATAGCGAAAATGATGGGAAATAACTGCAAATGGACATAGAACCTGTTTGGTACAGCTTATAAGCTGCTTATGGTCAAAATAAGCTAAAATCAACAACCAAACACTACGTTTTTCAAGACTTATTCTGACCACGTTTATTCCCACAGCTCCCATTTGTACTAAACAATAGAAGCTGGATCAGACCAGCTTATTTTAACTGCCTTTTTTACTCAATTTATGTAGCTTATCTGGAGAGCACTGCCTAGATAAGCTGTACCAAATATGGCCATAAATAGATTTTCAAAACATTGAAGAGCGTGTTTAGTTCCCTGAATTTGAGAATTTGGGCTACTGTAGCACATTCGTTTTTATTTGGCAAATAGTGTTCAATCATGGACTAATTAGCTCAAATTTTCAAAGATTCATGTGATAGATATTGTAGCACTTTTTTGGATTTTGAGTAGCAACTAAACACATACATGGTGATTGCTTTTGCTTTATCTAGCATATTCACCTTCAGCAGGAATCGCCTTCTAGCAATAATTACCGTGTGAATCAGACCCATTCGATGGTTTCGTACTTCTAGGTCTTGTTTGGGTGTTATTGAATTTATCTTAAACTATATGTGTTTGGGTGGATTGGAGTAGATTGATGTCGATCTAATATATGTGTATCCATCTTAATCCATATATATTGGAGTGAAATGGAATAGAATTTAGTTTAATTTTACTCCAATTCACTTCAACATATGTAGAATGAGACGAATACATGCGCATCCAAACAAAACCTTAGGTGGGAAAAGTCTAGCTCACTCCCAGTCAACTATTAGATACAGGCTCTATTCGCTGCATTATTATGAGAAAAAAATATTGTTCCTTCGTTAAAAAATATGGCTCTAAGACGAGCGAACAGAGCCACAGTCAAGTTTGCTCTGGGAAACTACAGCCCGATCGACTGGGAGCGGCTGGCTGGCCAGCCCTCTCACATAAACACTGTTCATGAACCAGCCAGCAGTACTTCTTCTCTCACGTAAACAAACCAGCCAATCGAACCGGCTACTAATCTAAACCAGAACATTCAATGAAACAAGTTCATTTTATCAAAATCGGCGGGGCCTAAAACAAAACACATCTTGACCAGGACCATTTCAGCCGAGACCACTAGTACCACATTATACCTGCTCAGGTCTTTTTTAATTTCTCGTTCTAAAGTTTACTTCATATCCTATTTAATATTTGACACATATAGAGTATTAAATATAAACTAAAAAATAACTAATTACACAGTTTGTGATTAATTTACGAGACAAATCTTTTAAGCCTATTTAGTCTATGATTTAACAATATGGTACTACAATAACACATGTGCTAATGATAGATTAATTAGACTTAATAAATCCGTCTCATAGATTATTAATGAGTTCTGTAATTTACTTTTTTTAGTGTCTGAACATCCCATACAATATTCTATATGCCGCCCTATGCCCGATGTGACACCGTAACTCTACGCACTGGATGTAAACGAGCCCTCGGTCGCCCAATGCTGCTACCGGTGGCGGTGATTCGGTCATCCGTGACACGTGACACCACCGCCGCGCGACCACGTTGCCGGAAAAGATTGGCGTTTGCACCACACACACGGGCCTGGCCGCCTGGCCCACCGCCGACCACGAACACGCGGGAACGTCCCGTCGTCACAGGCGGAACTGGGCCCATTGGTTTCCGTTTGGGCCGCGTTTCCTCGTCATAAATGACGCCCCGTTGGCGCGCTGGCTGAAGCTGATGCGACGCTGATCACCTTCCTAGCTCGCTTTCCTTCAGGTTTCGTCGGATTGTTGACCGCAGCACAAGGTTAGAGACGACGTGAAAAAGTCAGATGCACACGACACGACGAGGGACCTACGCACTGTTCTAGACTCCATGCACACACTTTGAAGTTTGAACTTTCAAGGCTACAAATCAGTATTTCTTTTAGATAGTGACAAATCAAATAAACAATGGGCAATTCAGCTTCACAAGGGAAGGAACTGGTAAGAACAGCACTGCACGCTGAACATATCAACGAATAACGACTATGCACATCACAACATAGCTTACAATCCTAGCTGCAACTAATTACTTATTTCATACACAAACAACGAATTAACCAAATAATGAATGAATGATGAAGCAACCCCATATGAACAAGCAAGCACGAACACCACCACCAGCAGCAGCAGCGTCATCAGGCGGCGTTCATCATGATCTTGAACTCGTCGAAGCTAAGCACGCCGTCGCCGTCGAGGTCGAACCTGCAGATCATGTGCCTGCACTCGTCGACGTCCTGGTGCGCGCCGAGCCTGGCGAGCATCCGCCTCAGGCTGGCGGGGGTGATGCACCCGGCCTCCATATTATTCTCGGTCTCGGAGTACATGCCGAACGCCAGGCGCAGGCCCCGGTGCCGGTCCTCCTCGCCGGCGTCCTGCTGCAGGCGCGCCACGAGCCGGGCGAACTCGGCGGCGTCCAGCAGCCCGTCGCCGTCCGCGTCCGCGTCCGCCACCAGCGCCTCCGCCTCCTCCGCCGACACGGCCGCCTCGGCCCCCAGCGTCGCCCGCATGCACTCGCGCAGCTCGGACGCCGAGATCCGCCCGTCCGCGTCCGCGTCGAACGCCGCGAACAGCGACCCCAGCTCGCTGCTGCTGCTGATGCTGATGCTGCAAGATTGCGACGACGGCGCGGCGACAACCATCCTCGATCGGTGTCTTTGCTGAGATGCGATGGTGGTCAATTCGTCGAGTCGGCGATGCTGGATGGGATAGGTTTGGTTCTATTCGGCAGGACTGTTTTATGATTAAAAGAATAGGGTTGATTCGGCTGATAAGCTCAAGCGATATAGTGCCGTAAACTACGTAGCTAGGTGCTGCCAACCATGGTGTTGCGAGGGTGAGGCGTATATATAGCACACTTCATAGAGAACAAGTAATTAATGAGGCGACGCGCATTTGGAAGCTTCACGGCATGGCGGGAGAACGCCAGAAGGGAGAGGCTGCCGTGTGGCAGCTTGCATTGGACCGAGGAAAGAAGAAGGCCGGGGGAGGCGGCGGTCGACTTCAATAGATATAGATAGGTGTACGTACGTATACCCGGACCAAAGAGTGGACTGGGTCCAAACAAACTGAAAAAAGGCCAGAAAGTGGAGTGAAAAGGTGGATGGGAATTGGGAACATTGGAAATTCCGTGGCGTATGCGACGACGTTTCAGCGTACGCGCAGCGGGTGGCTGGTTTGGCCTGGGTGGGAATACAAGAATCCGTGGGGTGGAGGAGAAATTGATCTCTCCCCAAACCTCCGTGACCCAAAATGCATCCCCCAAACTCTGAGCGAATGAATCAGCAGGAAAAGAAGCGTTGGGCTTGGAAAAAAAGAACAAGAAATCCTAATCCAAGCTCCCGGCGAGGCAATGGTGTTCCTGCTGCCCGTACTACTGTAGCGTATGTGTTCAAGGTGCTCGTGTCCCTGCTGCCCGTACTGGTACATCCACTGCGCAAGCTACCGGTGATCCCGGCAACTATTCTCCTTCAATCCGTGCTTCGCCCGTCGGTGGATGGTGATCATCTACCAGCGAAGGGTAAGCTGCTATTGGCTTTCGGTTGAATTTATAGGCCGTATCGTTTCAGTGAAATAACAATGTTTTTCTCTCACAATAAATTAGCATCAACATTAGTCATAATACTGCTACTGGTTTTCTCTCTGCTGATTTATTGTATTTGTTTGCCTTCTCTGTCATAGTTAGAGTTATTGAAGTTTATATTTTTCATTTTCAGGTTATACCCACCAGCACCAAGAGGGTTCACAAAGTATTTGCAATCAAATGGAAATAATTTTCCAGAAAAAAAAATTATTTTGTAGGTGCTACATGAGGCAGCCTACAATGTCTCCAAATGATCCATGTTCTCTAAAGGAACCCCGTCACCAGTTGCAAGCAATCCAGTACGTGATATAGATGCACAAGACAAGTTGACAACGAGACAATTGACATTGGTGATGATGACAGCATCTAGGAGTTAAGGATTGATAAGCGATTGAACTGTGGTTACGTGATAAAGATTTTTGATTGGTAAGTTATCTTTGCAACTTTGTAAACTTCCAAGATATGTCCATGCCAGCCCATAGTAATGAAACTATGCATCTGTTTTGTTTTTTTAATAGAGTTAAATACACCGACGGCCCTTGAACTTGTGGTCCTGTGTCAATTAGGTCCATGAACTCTCAAAACTGAAATCTAGACTCCTAAACTTGTTAAGTCGTGCACCGCAGGCCCATACCCTTTAATAGGATGCTGACTAGGATAATTTTTTACAAAAACCACCTTGCCACAGTTATCTTCTACCTCCGTCATCAGCGCGGGGACCACAATGGCAGCGTTGGTGTACAACAGCGACATGCTGAAGCTAGCCATGCTCGTGGGCAGCTCTGTGTAGAAGAAGTCGATCTCCCAGATGACGCCGAACGCCTCGGCGAGCCCCACAAGCGTAAACTGCGGCACTAGCCATAACACCGAGATGGTGACCCCGCGCAGCGCCAGCCGCCGTCGTCGCTGCGCACCCCCTGAAAGCTCTAGTTTGGTTTCGGTGAATTGATGAAACCCTAAGTGCTAACCTAGTTTATCAAGTGATCATGAGATAGGTAGCACATTCCAAGTGATGAAGCAAATGAAGACCATGACATGATGATGGTGATGCCATGGTGATGATCAAGTGCTTGGACTTGAAAAGTAGAAAGAGAAAAACAAAAGGCTCAAGGCAAAGGTATAAATGTTAGGAGCCATTTTGTTTTGGTGATCGAGACACTTAGTGAGTGTGATCACATTTAGGATCGATAGCCGTACTATTAAGAGGGATGAAACTCGTATCGAAATGCGGTTATCAAAGTGCCACTAGATGCTCTACCTCATTGCATATGCATTTAGGATCTAGTTGAGTGCTAACACCCTTGAAAATGTTTGTGAAAATATGCTAACACATGTGCACAAGGTGATACACTTGGTGGTTGGCACATTTGAGCAAGGGTTAGGAACTTCACCGGCATCCTAGATAGAAAAGACGGAGGTCACTGTAAGTGACCGGACGTTGGTCTCGGTAGGACCGGCGCGTCCGGTCAGGTGGAGCATGAAGATGCTGGCGTCGGTCTCTGACCGGACGCTGGGTCGCTTAGTGACCGGACGCTGGAGGGGTGCGTCCGGTCCGACTGATGTGGCAGCGCACAGAAGAGTCACCGTGTGACCGGACGCTGGGTGTGTCCGGTCGAGCATGACCGGACGCGTCCGGTCGTGAAAAGTCGTCTCTAGATGCTTACTAGAAACGACCGGACGCTGGGGTTCAGCGTCCGGTTACTTTGAGTTGCTGCGTTCGGTCATCACTTGACCGTTGAGATCGGGCGATCGACATTTGAAGAGAGGGGACACGTGGCAAACATCGCGTGACCGGGCGCTGAGGTCTAGCGTCCGGTCAATACGACCGGAGCGTCCGATCTCCCCGCGTTGTGCCCAGTGAAGGGGTACAACGGCTCTATTTCATGGGGGCTTCTGTTTAAGCCCTATGGCTGGCTCTAGCTCACTTCCTTGGCCATTTGCATTGACATAGCAACCTTGTGAGCTTAACCAAAGCCCTTCCACTCATCTCCATCATTGATTCATCATCTTTGTGAGATTGGGAGAGAATCCAAGTGCATTACTTGAGTGTTTGCATCTAGAGGCACTTGGTGTTCGTGTTTCGCTATGGGATTCGCTTGTTACTCTTGGTGGTTGCCGCCACCTAGACGGCTTGGAGCAGCGAGGATCATCGAGCTGAGGTTGGTGATTGTCTCCGGCTCCGATCGTGGTGATTGTGAGGGGTTCTTGACCTTTCCCCGGTGGAGAGCCAAAAGGCACTCTAGTAAATTGCTCCTGGCTTGTGTGATCCTCATCTTGTGTTTGTTGTGCGGCACCCTATTGAGGGTTTGACGTGTGATGCCAATTAGCACGTGAACCTCCAAGTGAGTGAATCGCCACAACGAGGAGTAGCTTGCCGGCAAGCAAGTGAACCTCGATAAAAAAATATTGTGTTCATCATTTATTCCGAGGTGACTGATCTTCATTGTTTTTCATTCTTGTGATTGATTGGCTCCTTCCTCGACAAGGCGGTATAACCTTCTTGCTCACTCTCTTTATATTACCGCAAACTAGTTGTCAAGATCTTTAGTGTAGCTAGTTGTGAGAACTTGTCAGTTTGGTTAGTGTGGCTCTTTAGTTAGCCTTTGAGAGCACACTAACTTAGTGTAGTGGCATAGCTATTGTGTGGATAGAAACTATATCAACTAGAATTGTGGTAGGTGGCTTGTATTTTTAGTAGGCTAGCGTAACACTTGCTTCGCCTCATAATTGTCTAACCGGTTTGATAAGTGTTGTTGTAGAAATTTTTATTAGGCTATTTACCCCCCTCTAGCCATTAGGACCTTTCACCCCCCACCGATGAGCTGCTTTATGGTGAGCCCGCTCGAGCCGAGGCGTCGGTCCATAGTATCGGACCGCTTCACGGCGCGATCGCCGACTTGAGCTGCTCCACCTGGTGCACCGTGCATAGCCTCTTCCCATGGTGGCCGTGCTGCTTGGACGTTGCCGTGTCCGAGCCATTGCAGGGTGCGTCCTCCTTGGTGTCACGGAGCAAGCATGCCTTGTTCAAGAGCTTGAACGAACGAAGCTCAAACGCCAACGTGTTCGCCTCGTCATACCACGTATATCCTTGAAACGCTGCTTCTGCTTGCTACATGTTGGGGAGTGAGTGACGTACCTCAGCTTGTCCGTGGGGACATCGAGCTTGCAGTCCTTGAGGTGATGGTACACGCCATTGACATTGACGGTCTTGTCCGGCAACCGCGCCCTATGGTTCCTGATCGCCTCGCCGATGGCGGAGCCTATCGCGACGAACATCTGCCTTTTGCCCTTCTCCTTGATGTAAATTGTAAAGGCCCGATCCTAGGACCAATTCAGACTCTCACTCGCCAAGACTGACGGAGGTGGTGAAGGACACGTTGTCGAACCGGCCGCTCAGCGTCAGCGTGCTCGCGTCCGTCAGCGACGATGGCGTCGGTGAGACATTGTAGCATAGCTTGGACTTCGTCTCTCCATGCAGCTCGACGTCGTTGACATCGAGTAGTGGCAGCTGCTGCTTCGCCACGCGGTCGCCCTCCGTGCGAGACGACTCCATGTTGCTATGTTGGCCACGTAGCTCGGGAAGAACAGCAGGTCCGCGCGCCACGTCTTGCGCCAGCTTGGCATCGGCATCGGCATCGGCTCGGACGCGGAGGTCAAGGACGCGTCGTCGAACCGGCCGATCAGCGTCCGCACGCTCGCGTCCGTCAGCGACGACAACATCGGTGAGACATTGTGGCACAGCTCGGACTTCGCCGGCGTGCGGCTCGACAGCATCGACGTCTGAGTAGTGGCAGCAGCGGCCACTGTGCGGCGCGCCTGCCCTCGGCGGGCCGTCGTCCACCTCCACGATCCTAACGTCGTTCTCCTCAGCATGAGCCCTAGACGAGTGCCTACATTCGCCGGAGCATCGGGTTGGCCTGCCGCCGCACCAGCTGGCCCCTTAGCAGCGCCTGCAGCTTCACCATCCCTCGCAGCGCACACAGCCTGAGCAAGGATGACTAGAGGTAGAAGATAACTATGGCAGGGTGGTTTTTGCAAAAAAAAAAATTATTCTAGTAA